TCTGCAGACTCGGACTCTGCTGAGGACCTTGCGGAGGACCTTGCTGAGGACCTTGCTGAGGACCTTGCTGAGGACCTTGCTGAGGACACAGAAGCTGCAGTAGATGAGGAGGAAGATGAGGAAGAGGTGCTTGTTGAGGAAGATCAGATCCAACCATCGGTATGTTTTAATCATATAGCAGCAAGGCAAGCCATTGGATTTACATGCAGATGATCAAGTAACAATGTCATGTGATGTTCCTCTTCAGGAAGCAGAGGAAGAGGACTCTGATGACGGAGCGGATAAACAGATAGGGTCTCACCCTGATGCTGACACCACCATCCTCTTCGTGACTGGAGAAGGTAGGCTTTCAGTTAACCATCATCATTCGAGCTATTCTTTCAAGAGACGAAGACATTTTGCATGTTTGTTATGACATCTAATAACTCATACTTTATCTGTATTCGTGTTTTTAACATTATATTTATTTGTTGTTTTCATTAATTTAGAGTTCCCTGCCAATGAAATTGTAAGGTTCCTGGTGGGTTTCACCAACAAGGGCAGTCAGGATTTCACCGTTCAGTCGTTGGAGGCTTCCTTCCGTTACCCACAAGACTTCCAGTTCTATATCCAGAACGTAAGTTTGATCTGAAGTACATAAATAAATATTATTACACACACATGTGCTCCACCTTTAATACAAATCCGATAGAAAATACTTTAAGAATGCAATTCTCTGTTGACGTGTTTTAAATCACTCAATGCCTATGCGTTTCAAAGTTTTTGGAATGTAGGTGTATAAGAGTATGTTAAAATATAAATCGGGTTAGAATACATATCTGTATGTGGTAAAAGAAACATAGAATACAGGCATAATTCTGCTAAGTTAAGACCATGAAAATATAGAAATTACAATATAAAAAACACAATTATGTACACTGCCAGTTTAATGCAGGTACAAAGTACTCATAATATTGAAAAATATTGATATTATTCAATATGATTTTCCGGCCCTGCATGGATTTCATGATTTCTTTTTTGACATTCAGAATAAAAATTCACATTTGTTTTTAATGACAAAACTATTTCCCATTTCAGGATCATTAAAGTATATCTAATCCGATCTAGTTATCTTCTGCATGTGTTTTAACGTTAAATGTTTTGTGTAGTTCACAGCGTTGCCTCTGAGCACCGTGGTGCCGCCCCAGGCTCAGGCCTCCTTCGAGTACTCCTTCATCCCAGCACAGCCCATGGCGGGCCGTCCTTTTGGTCTTGTTATCCTCCTCAACTATCTAGACACTGAGGTAAAAAGGATTTTCATTATTTATTTATTTATTTATGAATAGCATTTATTATTAGTGGTGGTGCTTGAGGTCTGTTAAGGTTGCTTTGAGAACAGAAGTAGAGTGATGGGAGGAAGTATTCTCACAGCCCGACTTCAATTTGAATGACTAATGAAAGCGCATACCTGACGAAAACAATGTCAGCAAAGCAGTTAGTCTTCATATTCGTATATTTGTTTCCATTTTTACATAATTAGGATGACTGGTGGCTCCTCACTGTCATTATGTTCTGCCTGCTGCTGAGCTTTGACTGTTGTTTTGTCATAATGACATTCAGATTTTTAAAGAGTCGCTCTTCTAAAAAAAAATTCATTAAGTTATTCCAAGGTACCTATTTGCTTTGATTCTTTGCTTACTAGTTTTTTTTTTACATTTCTTCAGGGCAACACATTCCAGGCGGCCATCTACAACCAGACTGTCACCATCACTGAGCTGGAAGAGGGAATTGACGGAGAAACGTGAGGCTCTCTTTTACTGATCTCTAACCCTGCACACTTAGTAGGAAAATATAAATCGGGTTCAGATTATTTTAGTTGTTCTTGTAGGTAGATTTGGTTTGCAGTTAAAAGACATCGGATCCATTATGACACATGTTTTAAAACAAGACAGGCAACAGGTAAATAAATAAAGCTTTTCCATACTATTTCACTGCAGAAATGAAAGGGACTTAGCAAACAATAGGGTGGCAACAAAATGATTGAATCAGTAATGGATGAATTAAAAGGATTTCTGCTTCTCAGTTTTATGTAAATCATGTGTAAATCTAATTATTTTACCCCATTATTTCTTATTTGAATCATCCTTTCAGGCTAAATACAGCTCTCTAAAGCTTCACAATTACAATCTTCACAGACTATTGCAGCGCATGTAGGAACCTGTAAAAAAGGAGGTGTGAAATTGGCACAAAGAGATTAGTTGTCAGAATTGTGCTGCTGGTGCAAGATGCAGAAACTGTCACCAGTGAATTATTAAAGAAATACAAAATGTTTTCCATCCTAAAATCTCAAAACCAATCAAATCCTCATTTCAGATACTAGATTAGTTAAAGGTTATTTTAAATGGCTCTAGGGGGCAGATTTGGTTAGACTGGTCTTGATAACAATGTGCAGTTGATGATAAAGGTATCTGTTTGCTTGAATATTGTTTTTTTGCTATCATTCTTTAATAAGCAAACCGCAGAATATTAAGAAGAGGGAAACATTTATTTCATATCTTCAACTAGCTTGGTTGCTACAGGTATTTAACTAAAATGCATTGCATAAAAATGATTTTATACCTAGATAACCAGGACATTTGACCTTGCATTGCATAGTGTCTATGTATGTACAGTCAATTATGTCTTCAGTTATCCACAAGCATTGCACCGCTCCCAGAGCATGGTATGGAAAAACACCATGTTACACTGGAAATCTTTTTATTGATTTAACATTTTATTTTGTTCTGCAGAATGTTCTTGTACATCTTCCTGGGTGGACTGGCGGCTCTGGCGCTCTTTGGGGTGTACCAGGTCCTGGAGACGAGGACGGTATGTGTTAGTCTTCAATCAGCTGTTTTATTTGGCATACTGGTGTCCCAATGCAAATGTAATAAAGTGTGGTCATATCTACAGCAGCAAATGGATTAAAGTGCACATTAGCAAGCGGTGGCATGCATCCTACTCCCTCTAAAACCTTCTCAAAAAGGGATACGTGGATGTTGAAGCAATGGTTTTAAAATTATTCATGTTGTCTTTTTCAGAAAAAGAGAGTCCCAGTGAAAATAGAGAAGGGCACTGGTGGGATGAGCGACGTGGACATCAGCTGGATTCCTCAGGAGACTCTCAATGTCATGAGTATGTTCATTTTTTATCCCCAACCGTTACAAATAATTACAGTTTAAACAGAGAAGTGATTCATTTGATCATATTACTGTTAATTGCCATGAAAATAAAATCTGATCTTCACATCCTGTCTTACAGACAAGGCTTCCCCTAAAGCATCTCCACGAAAACGGACCAAGAGGGCAGCTGGTACAGATCAATAAAACCATCCGTTTCCATCCGTCATCATACAGTCCAGCAGGCTTTCAAAGCTAATTTCATCACCACAGTAACCCGATTCCCCATTTACAATGGAGCAACATTTCCAGTCTGAGCCAAGTGCTAAAGATGTTTGTTTGGATCTCATCCTGCTGCTCTGCTGGAGCCTTGACCGGAGAGCATCCCGGACTGGAAGGCCATTTAGACACTAACAGGACTGAACTACAGCTCATTTTTAAAGGGACTTTTTTTATCGGTATGTGTGTGTGTGAAAGATGAACCAATAAGTCATTAACCTTTTTGCATTGCGGTACAAACTACAAAAAAATGCTACAAATATCTGACACTGCCTGTATGAATGTTGTCCAGTCAAAATGGTTAATTTGGATATTTGTTTCTGCATTTTTAAGCTTCAAAACATTGCTATTTCATCTGTTGAATGAGATGAATCCCCCTCCTCGTAAACACCATTGTGCCTTATCTGCAGTGTTTTGCCAAGCATTAATGCTAAGAAAAACAGTAGATGCAATTGATTCTAAAAGTGTTCCTCACTTCTGCTTTTAACATCAAGACAAATATAGCCTGGGGTTTATGAAAATAAAAACTTTTGCATTTCAGTGGGGCAATGCAGCTGCATTTACAACCAATGTTAAAACAGTGTTCTCTGGAGGTTTCTGCGGGTTGGTTTACCTTTTTTTCTTCTTTTTTTTTTACTATGTGATGGTGATGCCGTCTGTTAGATTGCATACCATTACTTTTGGGGGAAAAAAGTGTTTTTTTTTAAACAATAAAAAGGTGAACAAAGTGTATTTTTCAATAATGATTATTTTCAATAATATTACTAATTACTATTCAGTTATCTGTATTCTATGACAATTGGTGGTTTATGCTACTTATGTTTATGCAGTCTTCAGTTTCAGTGGATAATGTAACTCAAGGAAATTTAAAATGAAATTACATAGGTTTCCAACTACAATTATTTATCAATCGAAGGAATGTTTGGGCTACACAACCTCAGAAAATAGTGAAAATGCATACATGATAAATAAATATGTATTTGAGTTTAAATGTGCAAAATGAACAGATCAGTCTATTCTACTTTATCTCCAATCAGTTGATACTCACATATTACTTTTTAGATTCTTTAAATATTTTTCAGATCCTAATTTTATTTCATTTTGCAATTGAACACGTTGAATACTGGCATCAATTTTTTCCCAATTGACAATCTATATCATTTTAATAACACAGGACTATTTACTACGATAATAATTAGTAGGCCTACCAAATTACATTGTCATTCCCAGGAAATAATTAGGAGACAATGCAACGTAAAATATGGCATGCACCCAATATTTTCATTGTGGACAGGACTGATAACATATTATAGCTGCAGTCTTTTATGATATGCTACAGCATTAAGCATCTGTAGTGGAATAGGGTGAAGCTCCTACATTGAGATAACATAAGATACAAATCTACAAAGTATGAGAAAGTGGATGATAACAACACGCAGGAGCATCCTGAGAGTCCTGCCGGTGTTGCGTGAGTGTTGCAGGAGGGTTGTACGGAGGTTCCTCCTCCTCGGGGAGGTGAGAGCTGTCCGGTGCTGAGAGGGAAGAAGATGAGCTCAGCGCGCGCCGGGGGGCAGGTAACGTCAGCACTCGGCCGGAGCAGAAAAAGACTACACACACACACACACACACACACAGGCTCACACCAAGTGTTTATCTCCGCTTCATCTCTGATACACACCGACACACGTTAATGATGGGCGGATAAGCAGCTCCGTGAGACTGAGCTCCGCTTTTTTTAAATTGCTTTTCACGAGTGCCTCGGCAGCATCCCGCGCCCTCCGCTTGGCTTGAGATGGGATGATATGGGATTTTTCATGTCGACGAAGATCGGAGGGATACTCGCGTTTGCCCTGGGTAAGATATCTCAAGCTGCTTCGTGGGTATTATTTAAACTATGAGCCACTTTGGATGTATGAAAACAAAAAACTGCCTCTTTTTATCTTCACACATCAGAAATGTATCTTATCTTTTATCTCCATCAGGGTTGTGAGACCTGCACCGTAGCAGGTTGTAGTAGGCTACACCCATCGATGGTATAGTGGGGTCTCTTTAGTGTGCAGTCCTATGGACATGCAATATCCAAAAATAATACGATTTATGTCCCGCAAGTGCTACTTTTATATTTACAGTATACTTAATAATTTGTCTGTAAGTGTTGCTTGCCTTGCGTTATCCTCTTGTATACGGTTGTATTGACATGTTTTATATCATTTAAATTAGAAAAAGAGCATTACACACCCATGTGAAAGTAAAACACTGTGTGGAGTGCAGTGGTGAAAACTATTGTCTGATAACATCTGCTTCACAGCCCAACGCCCACTGACATTTGTATAAAGTGAATACTAAATTACAGGAAGGGAAAATATTTAAATTCCCTAAAGGCAATGAAAAACATGTGTATGCACTCATGAAACAACTAAAACAAACATTACATTAATATTGTGGTTATTGTAGCAGAAGTTGCATGATTGTTAGCTGTAATAATGTGGGGAACATGGTAGGGAAAAATGAACCAGAATGAGGAAATAACAATAAATTAATTATCATGAATAATTAATAAAGCTGTTCACTGTGTCTGTTTTGCAGTATTTCTGTCCCTGATGGTGTCAGGAGACTTGGATGCTGACGCTAAGTGTGAGAACATTTATAAGGACTTTTCTGATTGTGTCCTGGAGCTGGGAGACAGCATGGATAACTATCAGGAGAACGTGACGAGCGAGACAGGAGTGGCAGCCGTGTGCAGGTGATGATAACTTCATTAGTGAGGCAGTGTGTGAACAGCATGCAGCATTTGCACACATGGCACATCCCCTGTATGTGTTGTAATTAAACTGATGAAGTCATTAAACCAGAGAAGGCAAAACTGTAAGCTGAATGTGATGTGTTAGAATAAAAAGTGAAAACCACTAATCTTCCGCCCTGAACACAAAACTTTATTCCTGTTCAATTTGTTGGAGGTAGGGCATGATTTAGTGGATTAATATAGACAGACACAGTTTGAAGAAGCTGTCTCACAAAATGCTGGAGAGAAAAAGAGCAGATGCCACAATCTCAGAGGGAGAATAGAGAAATGGTGCTGAGACACTGAGCCACTGTACTAAATAATTTATGACTTTGCTGCAGCAGTAATGAAATTCTGGGGACGTTTTTTATCATTGTTACTGCACGCACTCTACAACCCCAGCACTGTATATTGAAGACAAAGATTTACACATGAGCCTTCTGTCGGAAATTGCCCTCTTGCAATATCATCTGCGATATTGTTTCACTCTCGGATGCAGTTGCCATGGTAATTAAAGCTCAGTTTGACTTACGTGAAGCCATCGTGGCCGTCTGACTGATAGATTACTGGCAAGCGAATTAATCCACGACAGACAGTGCAGGTTTGCATGCTGGAGCCGGGATAAACACTTGACAGACGCCAGTGTTGATCTGATGATCTTTTTGTTTGCCACAGCCACTGGGAAGCTTTCCACACGTGTGTCCTCACAGCGCTGTCCGACTGTCAGGAGGAGGTGAGCTCCATCTGGGAGACTCTGAGGCAGGACTCCACCAAGATGCGCTTCCAGGGAAGTCTGTTCGACCTGTGCAGCCCCAGCTCCTCGCCCAGCATCAGCTCGCCTCTGGCGGCCCTCACACTGCCTCTGATGGGTGCGATGATCATGGCCGGGCCCAACTGGTATCCTGTATAGATGGTGGGGATTGAGGGTGAGGGCCTCACATTCCCCTGGGTCAGTCCTTTGAGTTCAAAACTAAAGCCAAGGATTTAAGAGGATAAGGATTATTATCACACAGAGCCATCAATATTTGCTGTGATGAATAATACTTGATCCCCCCTTATGTCGAGAAACTAGAGTAGAGTAGTTGAGAAAATTACATTTCAGCCAACTTATCAACCGAGACAGACTTGAGTATTCAAAGGATTTCAGATACAATGTAAGCAGGTCAGTCACATACCTGTTGCTCTGGGTTACTGATATTCAAGAAGTGGACACAAAAGCATGAACACCCTTGCAATCTAATTGAATGAAGATTATATATTTATTATTATTATTATTATCATGTTTGGTTCTTGTCGGTTCTAAAGTGTAGTTTTGATTAGGTTTCACTGGATTCAATTATAAACAATTAGTTTATTAGTTATATTACATTAGAGACTATATTATAGTAATTTAGATTAAATTAGATAAGATTAAATTACATTAAATAAGAATTGACGGATAGTTTGACTTTTTGCAGGTACAGGACAGTGCAGGTACATTCTTTCATATCTCTCAGAAGCAATTTTGTAAAATAAGTAAGAAAAAAAACATCAAAGTAAATACATACTACATGCAATATGAATTGTAAAAATACAGACTATGAACAATTATACTTAAATGTATTGCACCAAAGAGTGGACTGTTGAGAGACACACAGGTAAAGGATGCAGTATTTGTGGTTTTCATTAAGGTGTTCATGTTTTTGTACCCTCTTCCTGTATATTGTGTTTTATAGGATAGTTCAACATTTTGGGACTTAGCCGATGCTATACTTACCTCATGTCTGTATTCTAAATATATAAGTATGCTAGTGCCATCAGCCAGTTAGCTTAGCTTAGCACTAAGCAGCTCGACTGCCCATAGCCAAGAAATAGTTTGAAACATCCCTGTAAAACCACAGCTTTTTACAACTTTGTACAGATTTAACAATCAAATCTATAATAGCAGCTTTAGTCTACAGACAACTAGGTGGTATCCATTGTCACACAAAAGCACATTTAAGTGTATTTCTGAAAAAGTGGAACTATTCCTTTAAACAAGAGCTAGTGTATGTTAAACACCAGGATACAGATTTTAATCCCCAGTGAGTTTGTATAAATAAAAACAATCCATCATACAATAATTACCTGTCACATAACAAGGACACATTTAAAGCAGCATTTCAGCAAAAATATAGCAATATCCCCACACATATGTCACTATCAGTCATTAAAACAGCAGGATGAAAAACCATGAAAAAGATGGAACCAGACATTAATCTGACTGGATTCCATCTTTATTACACTAAAGCTAGCGAATAAACACCATCCAGATAAAGGTGAAATGCCCCTTTAATCTGTTGTCAAGCGTGCTGAATGTTTGTGTTTGTGACAATCAAGCCACTTTACCCCTCCAACACTTTGGCCCAATGTGGCTGATGTTGCATGGCTGCTATAAAGACACCAAAAACATCCTGACACTAAACACCACCAAAACATTACTTTAAACGACTTCATAAACACAGTATGGCATACAGACTACACATGGGTGGATATATTGCAGAGATTGTTAAGGAAGAATCGATATATTATGAAAACTCTCCAAATAATCATATTTAGGAGTACTAAAACACATCATTTATTTCAATTGAAACACTCTCCAATTGAGTAGAATATTATGCAACAGCAAAACAATTGCTTATTTTTGTAAGATATCTATACAATCACTTTTGTATCAATTGTATTTCAATTACAGATTTACCCATTAATGAATTGCATATTTACAATATCAAACAAAATACATTACCAACTGTGCTGCTCACGTTATGCTTTAAATCTATATTCCTTTGAGAAACGTTGGCATGATTTTAAACTTCAGAAGCAGCCAAGAACGACTGAATCTCGACAGAAAAAAAGCATCTTTGTTACAGCTTAAAACAAAAAGAACTGGCAAGATCTCCACTCATGTAACACTGGTAGCCAATAGGCTGTGTGATGTATCACAAATTGTAATGGTGAATACGAAATCAATGTTCAGGTTAAAATCACCTCACAGAAATATGATGTTTTATTGCAGTGCTCATCATAGATTCTGAGATACAGATACACTGAAAATGAATGAGCGAAAGTATCAATTAGTTTTATTTGTTTGCTCTTCAAAAACTGTGTCACCATTTGCATAATTTATTTTTTATCTTGACGGTCCTCATAGGCCTTTTCAAAAATATGGATGATTTCCTGAATATTTTATACCTTTGATCCAAAATGCATGATACTTTTAGTGACTTCATAATAATGAACAGTCTGTTGATGATAACTTGGACTACATGTGCAGTGGTATTGCTCTGCACATGCAGTTATAGCATCCTTTGTATGCAGATCCTGAATCCACCCACCTCCACCTCTTCCAGCATGTTTGTTCTAGTCGTTTCTATTTATTTCATGTTTCACGAGTGATGGCATAATGTCAACCATTGTGTGTGTCTGGTGCTGAGAATTACAAAAACAGTCCTCAAAGCATGAGCAATATGTACGGTCACGGTAAAAAGAGGACTCTCATTCCTTTGTGTGCAGAAAGCATGAAAACAACTGTGTTATCATTAGCATTATACCAACATGGAGAGAACTTCTGAATGTAAAAACAAGCATCCATGTTTTTTTCAGTTTACTGATAGAAAAGCACACTATTTACAACTGTATAAAGCAATATATGGCAAAGTAATGTGTTTGTAATAATAAAGCACCGTGTTTAAAACATACAGTGTGGGGGTGTGTGTGCATCACCTTAAGCAAAACGATGGAAAGATATAGAAAGTGGTAAAACAGTGGAGCCTTTAATCGATGCAGCCAGTCCTCGCTGCTGTGCACTCACTTACTAGAGTTTCTGTTTTTAGCCCCCCCTGAAGCAAAGTGTTGGTAATGAGGATCGGGACCAGTGTTTTTCAACTCGTTAGCAAGCTCCCATCTGCTTCTCTCCACCTGGACACTTCCAGAAGAGGGGAAAGGGATGGATCGGGGTGGAAACCTTTCAGAGATCTAAAGACACGCTTGTGGTGTGCCCCTCATTAGAGGACCTGTCTCTGACATCTAAAGCAGAATGGCCAATTATTTTTTCACCTTCAGTTTCCTGACTTAGATTTACATATTTCCATACCGACTGGTGATCTTTTGTTAAACAGCTTCTACGCAAAAGTAATTGTACTTTACCATAATTCTACATGTATTTATATCTTTCCAGAACGTAAAAATGCATTACATTACAAAATTGTAACTTTGTGTGAAAATACAAAAGGTAGCATTGTACTTCTTCTGAAGACATATCCAAATAGTAGGTGGGACTGGACTGGAAAGAATAACTGTTTCTTGACAAGAGTTAAATGAGAGGATTGATATCATTCGTGATTGTGTGAATACCGAGCAATACAGCTAGCAGCCGATTAGCTTAGCCTACCATTAAGAAACAGCTAGCCTGTCTTTCTTTTAAAAGCTACCAGTTCATAAATTACAATGGTATATCTCAGTTTATTCGCAAGAAAACCTAAGAAAAGACTTACATAAAAGCATATTATTACCAAACCCATCAAAGAAATAATTTAACCCAGGTAACACCACAGCATTTTAACACTTTCGTTTAAATCGAAAAAGATACAATGTGTTAATTAGTAAGCTTAGAGGTAGTGGGTGTAACAGGCTAGCTTTTTCTAAATGTTATTTGATCTTCTCATTTAAAAGTGTATTTCCCCAAATATCTAAATATTATACAACTTTAAAATATCAATCCCTGCAGCTTTTACTGTATACTACACTTTAGAAACCCAATTTCAGACACTGCCTTTGGCCACCCTTTCAGTCACCACACAGAATAAAAATATAAGCGTTACAGAACCTGTAAATCTCAAGTAAAAGGCAGTTCATTTGGACAGGTTTTTAAAAGCCAATGATGAATTAGAAAGCTGTTCCAGAAACCACCCGTGCTGCACATTTCTGTTCTTTTCTCGTCACATCGTCACAAACAGACACAGTCTGCTGTCAGAGCACAGCTGGTGGTGGCTGACAAACTGTCCCCGAAGTGGGCACTATGTCTGCATAATACATCATAATGTAAAGAGACGGAAACAAACAGCACCCACTGTGCAACATGCTCTACAGACTTGACAATGATGACTAAATCGAGCATTGAGCAATACTAAATGTACAAACTTAATCCAGGAAGTGAAAAATAAACCATTTAGAAAAAACGAAAGTATATTTGTTTGAACAAAGCACTGGTTTCCTAACATTTAACTTTTAAAAAAGCGGCAAAATACAGCATGCTTGCTTTAATGTATTATTATTAGGTAAATGTTGATTATGGCTGTAAAAAAACAACACAACCATCTTCATTTACAAAGGTTATCTGAAGCTTCCTTTTAGAAAGCAATTCTTTCTGCCGTCAGATCATGATTTCCCGTTCACAATAAAAGCCTTAGACATATCCACTCCACCACTGCCTCTCAGAGAGCGTTTGGCCAAGTCAAGCTCGACAAATAACTTAAACTTAACAAAATAGCTACATTATCTAGCCCCAGGAAGCAACAAAAAGCGCATCACTTGTTCAAATTAGAATCAGCGGACAGATAATATGTTATCAATATCTCCAACCACGCAGTTTATTAGCAAATAAATGCAGTGTGTCCTGTGTTTTTGGCAGCTCTGAGGAAACAGAAATCAATCCACCAGCACCTTAAATAACTCGAATGGGGAAATGTATCAGTTTCTGCTTATAAATACAGCTGTAAGAAAACATAATACATGCTGTTGTAGGTAACTTTGCACACATTCATCTCTAAATTGCAGTGAGATTCGACTGGAACTATTTAATTTTAAAACCACAGTATCCTTGAACACGATGGTCAAGTTTGTATACCCAACAGGCAAGTTATCACACCAACACAAAGAGAGAGGATAATTTCTGTTGTTGTTGCTATTCAGTTGCATTTTTGTCACTTGTTTAAGTTTGTCAGATTTCACAATGTGCACATAAATGGAAAAAATAATATCGCAAATCTTAAAATGAGCAGATTAGATGCTCATGCTGATGTACTTAAAATGAAAACAAAAAAAGGAATTACTAAGAATAAAATGTAGTCATTAGGTTCAGAGAAAGGTGTAAACTGATGTCTGCTTTTATAAGCAATAAAACATGTATCTTAATATGCTACAGAGTTAATACTGTCCAACATTGAGCAGACAGCCATGAATAAATAGATCAGTTTATCTGGTGAATCACTTGAAGAGATGACAATCCAACATCTTGATGATGAAGGTGCTCCTTGTGTGAAAAACTTTTTCCGAGCAAGTTCCTCAGGGGTTAAACGTCCACAAAGCGTGGTGTCCAGAAAAGTTCACAGGTTAGATTTGGGTCCAGTGTTGACTGGGATGGCCCTGAGCTCAGTCCGCATGCACAGGTACTCTCCGAGGACAGCCATCAGCGCCATGCAGGCTATATTGACGAGCCACCAGGACAGGGCTGCTGGAAGGTGTGCGTTATAGATCCAGCAGCCAATCATATGGAAGAAGTGCACGGTGACTGTGAAGTCCAGGCACTGTTTCCCCCGACGGATGAAGAACCACAGGCCAAGGGCGCTGCAGGATTGGTTAGACAGAGAAAAGTATTTTAATCAGTCATGCTCATTTATGTTTCAGACATGATTTGCGAGTGTACAAATAGCCTCTGCAAGTTTGTAAATGTCAAAGTCTTGCCAAATCTATAAAAATTATCTTTTATTTCAACTGCTATGTTAACTACTTTTAGCCACATAAAGTACTTCTGGCGGAAATCCTTTAGTGGTGCAGGTGTTCATAAATCTGTTATGCCATTGTATCATGAGAACATTGTACAACAGCATTTTAGTAAAAGGTGTCACAGCTCTAATGTTTTTGGACGTACAAACAAAGATTTAAGAAATGACTCACCAGGTAAGAGAGTTCAAGATGAATGCCATCATTGAAAGCCTTCCCTGAATCGATGAAAAACCAAGATGCTGCCAAAGCAGAGCAAATATTAGTAACATTTTAGGAGTCAACATGTGTCCTACTGCTGGTAGAGATCTGTTTACTTACACCATAGCTGAAGATCTGATCCAGGGACCGATTGGTGTGCACCAGACTGTCCACTCCAGCTAGCCACAGGCCCAGGAAGCTGTAGTAGATGCACTGCATCAATACAATCTGACTCACAATGAGGACGGGGTCCCAGATGTAGCTGCGGAAGTGACTGGCCATTGCAAACTGATGTTTCACAATATGGCCCAACGGATGTTAACTGTTACCACCTGGGCCATCCAGGGTGTCCTGCGTGTGATCTTAAATCTGAAACACAAAAAATACATTTAATGGAACATATTTTCACATCTTAACAGCTTTTTTATGCATAAATAGGACAATAAAAAGGAGCAGAAATGTAGGTTTAACACTGGATATATGAGCTGTAAAGCTCACATTTACCTTTACTGTTAAGAAAGCCAGTTCAAATGAATAAAAATCTATTAACTTGCAGCTATTTATTGTTTAACACTTCACACATATTGTTCTAAGGGTTTTTGTTGCGTGAAGAACAATTGATACATTCAAGCGGTACAAACATTTGTTATTTAAGGTTTATCAAAATCAAGAAGGCTTTCTTATCAGTGTCAACAAGAAGTCAAGAATGTAATCATGCAATCTTTGAACTGACATGACAGAAATAACTAATTAATAGCTTAAAATGAATAGCTCATTATTTTGTGTTTGTTTGTTTTCTTCACAGCTTGTTTAGGTAGACTGCAAACATTGATTACAGCTATGAGGTCAAATCAATTATGAGGAAAACCGACAAACTGCAAGTAATAGCTATAGCTACAACAGACAGCTATAAATATTGAGCATATTAAGTAACACTTAAGGACACTGAACAAAAACTAAGCTATGCATTACATTATTCCACCTATTGTCAATCGTCATGTTCATCTCTCTTCATATATTTTGCACATTTCTATATATCCCTACCTCACTGAACAGTCCTCCACTTTAAAATATAATTTACTGGAGTATGTCATATATTCATTGTACTAAGTTTGTTAGCTTATTCAGTTTATAAATACTTGTCTTTATTTCTTTTTAATGTTTAATCGTTTTTATAAACGTTTTATTTGTTATGATCATTATATTTGTTACCTTCCTTTACAACCTATTTCCTTATGTTGTTCATATTTGCACCACTATACACCAAAGCAAATCCCTTGAATGTGTAAAAGCTACATAGCAATAAACTGCATTCTGATTCTAGCTAACCACCAGCACAAACTCAACGGCTGTTAGCTACAGGCTGTTAGCATCGTCACACTCTTGACTAAACTACCTTAACCCAGCTATACATACAATTTAAGCTAACATAAAAGCCAAGTAAACAAGACATTAACGGAGGGTGAAAACAACGCTGAAGCATCTCGTCTAACGGTACAACAACACGAAACAAACGAACAAGTTACACCATGTTACCTTCAAGGTTGTTTTCTTTATGAGAAACCGTTTCAATAAAACATACAGACAGTCGATACAGACCTGAGTACTGAATTGAAGGTCTCAGTGGGCCGTATTCACGATAATCCCGTCGGTTGCTGACAGTTTAAAAAACTTTAAAGTTAATAAACCGGGCCTTGAAGTCGACCAGTTGTAGCTTGTTAACAACACGGAAGTCACGGCAGTGGATCCGGAAGTAAAACGTTATATCTCTTCAATGTAAAATATCTTACATGTATTGTTGAGAAAACATGTTCTGATTTCTTTCGGAATGTACTTTTATACGAACAACCCATGGAAACAATCTTCTTGTTTACTATATAATATCTACATATGCGTTGTACACGATGCACTTGTCTGTTGTTTTCCTTTTACGCAAGCCGCGTCGTTTATTTTGAAATCTTTTCCGGTTTAGCTTCCGGAAGATGCATTAGTACTTTCCTACTACATACAATACTTTTTTTCCCATAAATAAAAACATTAAAAGTAATCTCACGCTATTTTTCTTTCTTTTTTAAGTCATGATAGATCAGACGGAATTATATTCAAAACTTGTATGCACATTTGGTTTTCCCTCTGGTGATCTTCTTTAACTTTTCATTTAGCGCCATCATCTGGTCACAGTTGAAACGGTCCAGTTCAAACATCTGAAAAACTAACTAGACATTACCAACAGCTTTAGCCTGGGCTAATAATGTAAGCTTTTTATTTCAGTCTTGTTCTTCTGAGGGTCTAAAGAAAGAGTTTGGTCATATTTTACAGATTGTAAAGTCACTCTAGAATAAAGTTGTGATTTTTGACTACGTAAACTAAATTGCTCATAGTCATAGTGTTGGTTGGTATTTTCATATGTAATCATTAAATAGTTTATTCTTCAATTCTAAAAATGTAATAACCAAAGTTGGGGTAAAACGAAAAAAATATATTTTTTATTTATTTCTGCAGGAATGGTGGGTTTTAGACCACATACAAGTAATGTACACATAATGTCAGAGTAGTATCAATGACAATTATTCTTGCAAGGGGAAAAACAGATGGAATCAGTGTACATCTCTGCTGGTTTGTCTTTCATTATGAACACTAAGGATATAGTCCACATACAAATACAAACAACCCTATTAAAGTACTCTTAAAGAATCAACACTAGGCAAATGACTGAAATCACAGGCAGGACACATTTATAAAGGAAGATTTCACACAAAAGGCAAGCCCACAATGTAATACACAGACAAATGTGTGATCAATGTAAGTAACACATGCTCATTCTTCATGGACTAACTGTTTTGCAAATAGCAAACATATACAAGGACATTAGGCACCAATAATTAACTGGCATGTCTCATATGTAAGTTTGTAAAACCAAAACAGCCACAGCATAGATGTGACTGATGGTCGTTCTGATACCTGTACCTGTGACACTCACTTATAATGAAACATTGAATTTGACTATTGGTACTAGTTCTTTGACCACGACTAAAGTCTAAAGAGAGGAAGTAGAAAAGTCACGGTGGCTCAAAAGACCAAATGCTCTCATCACATGAGCTGTGACTGTACTTCTCCAGGTTCAGCTGGGTCACAAGAAAAAACGTCATTTCAAGTCATTTCAGAAAGCAGAAGTTAAGCAAGATAGGCATATTTGTTTTTGTATAAAACAAAAGACTACTAATTTATCCCTTACTTCTATGCTGGTGCAGTCTTTGAAAAGACAAGGCAAGTAACACAATACTGAATAAAAAAAGTATGACCTTTAAAAGATGCATAAAATACACAGTTCAGTTAAGAAAGTTGAAAAGTTGCATGTGGCAAAAACAATGTGACAAACAAACATGAATTACTCAAACATAGTATTTGAAACAGTTGTAAATGACATGCACACCAAGTGTGATACAAACATAATGTGGCTAAGAAGGCACGGTTTTCTTTCCTGCATTTTGTAAGCATAACATTTGTATTTCTGTTGATGTTTAGAAAATTAAAAAAGGGGACAGAGCTCATTTGGTTATTTAATTCAAAGCTGCCGATGCAGTTGAATTCAGTAAAACATATTGTAAGATAAACAACCTGAGTAAAAAAATTAAAGAACAATTTGATGTGATGTCTCCTTTGCAACTGAAAACATAAGTAAGGCTTTTTTTGTTTAATCAACTTGAGCATTCCCTTTTGCTGCAGGGTTAAAAAGCCCTGTTACCCCATTAACAATGACAGATATACTTTCCACAAGGACACCTCTAGTGACAAGTGTGACACGTTGGACCTGATTTGTTCCCAAATAACACATTAAAGCATCATAAAGTAAATGAAAAAAAGTTCAAAGGACTTGTGCCTAAAATAAAGGTAAGAAAGCAATGAGATAATGGCTGTGACCCCCATCACTGTGGATGGTGGTTGAAGAGGTCAGGTAGGTTCTGTGGGGTCGGGCCAGGATAGAGACTTAGTGGTTTTATTTGTAATTTACTAAAAATGACCAAGATTGAGTCACTAATAACTTCTTCTTCTTTTTAAAACAACAATTTTGCCACTTGTATATTGTAAATCCATGCAACAGGAGCTAATAACATCAACATTTTCACTTGGCAACCTTTTTACAGAACAACTACAAATGTGTCATAACATATTTTATAATCAAAACACACAGACAAAACAATCTTTTTATCCCATTTAGATTGCACATTTCCAGGTCTGCCATGTTTGAAAAATGCTGCAGCACGTTTTAAGTGGCTGAGAGAGTATGACTGGAGCCCACTATCCATTGAAATCCGGGTTGTAGGCGGGCTGGGCGAGGAAGTCCTTGTTTGGGAGAGGAGCGGTGGGCTGCGGCTGGACGGGGGGCTGCAGAGGGTACGGCGGCTGGCCGGGGGAGAATGCAGCCTGGCTGTAAGGCATCGGGTTGGGAGGGTAGCTGGGACCAACTGTAAACAAAAAGAAAACATGGCATGAGGACAAAGTGCTGCAATGCTCCAACAGTAAAGTTAAACGTATGCTCTGTCAACCAAAAACGTTCAACTTTCTATTCAACAAATGTAGACATGACCCAACTTTATCCCAGCATTTATCCCACCCGCACTTCCGACTGCAGCTACATTGAAGCCCCAAAATACATCATGTGGTTTGTGTGTTTTTTGACACTACAGTCTTATTAAAGGGGTCATTATCCTGTGTTTATGGGTACTTTTCTATAGCGGGCTGGTTGTTTTAAAAACACACACTACTTAGTCTTGTATTTCATTGTACATTTTAAGTCTTACTCTTGAAACTTTTTTGGCATGACTTGATATTTAATAGCGCAGGCATCCTCACAAAGATGTTTTGCGTATAACATCGCCTGCTCAAATGTTCTAACTTTGTCTACAGTCTTTTTTTATATATGTGTGTGTTACATGAAAATAAACTGGACTATACTAAACTTAATTTTATATCCATTGCCTAAAATGAGTCCCCTGAATTTTTTAGCCATTGCCTACAGATACAATACAAAATGCACCCCTTTTAAATTCAGTATTAAGTACACAGACAACTATACTAATTAAACAAAAAGACACTTAAAAGATGCTGAAATCCATTCAGAGGAAGATAACATTTCTGGAGCTTCGATGAGTAAATTCAAAGATGCATCCAGGTTGTTGAATAAGACTTTGGGTTAAAACAGTAAATTGTGCGTTGGTCCATCTTTTGCATATCCCTTTTAAAGGATACATTTAGTTTCGTTTCATTGTTTTGTGTTACAAAATGGTGATGATAATTACACTGGGATGGTGTTACAGAAAGGGAAGTTTGACAATAGGCTGTCATCAGTGTTTCCTCTATATTCATTTTGTCTAGGTTATTAAAAAAATCCACACTCACCGGCTTCCAAGTATGATGGTGGTGGTACGGCTGTGAACGGTTGTCCTTGGTAGGGTGGTGTTGGCATGGTTGGAGCTCCGTAACCCTGGGGCCCGGGCTGTGCTCCGTAACCCTGGGGCCCCGGCTGTGCTCCGTAACCCTGGGGCCCGGGCTGTGCTCCGTAACCCTGGGGCCCCGGCTGTGCTCCATAGCCTTGGGGCACAGGCTGGGCACCATAACCGGGCTGCACTGGGACGTGGTTGTAGGGTTGGTACTGGCCCCCCTGGTAGGTCTGAGGCTGTCCGGCTGAGGTTGGCTGCTGGGGGTACTGCTGAGGAGCGGTGTTAACCACAGTGGTGTGTGTGGTGGTAGCTATCACAGCTGTAAGCAAAAACAACACAGAAACAGATTAGAAATACACATAACAAAAGCTGAGTCAAGGGTTTAATCACAGTCTCAGTTGAAGTGATGGGAGGAGTTGCTGAGCAAGAAGGCTAAATTAAAACTAATGTATACCAATTTAAGTTAGTCTGGTCTTATCTGCTAGTTTTTGGATGGCTGACATAAACCTAACAGTGGCATAAAAAAGTCCTAAAATAAGCAGTCTCAGTCACAAGGTTAACCAGCAGTCGTGGTCAAAGCATGATCACTACCACCAACACAAAGAATAATACAAAGAACCAAGTATTGCAACATCTAAACAAAAGAGAAGTTCAGATTTCATAATCAGTTTGTTCAACAAAAATGCAGCGAGACTTTTACACACAAACATCCCTCTAAATAGTTTCCTTTGACTTTCAAAGCTACCAGAAGAGTAGAGAAGTTAAATGAAGTTCTTTACAGGTTCATCTGAGTTCACAACAGTGATTATCTCGTTACACAAATTCAGCTTTATGAGCAGCTGTATGTGTTTGTTGGATTTTCTTTTCCCTGGGTGTTGCCTTTACGATAGCATACTGTTTGTCCTGTCCTTGTGGTGGAGGATGTGGAGGCTGTATGCAGTTTGAAAGGAAAGAAAAGGAAAAGCAGTAGAAAATACACTGGACTAAAACAAGTGTGTGTTTCTTAGGTTATTAATGTAATCTTGTATTTTCATAAACTGAAGCTAAAATGGAACATAAGGCAATAAAGTGCAGTGCTAGTTAAGTTTTCAATCAAGGAAGCTTAACATTGTTTTATCACAAGATTTCCATAAATCTATATCAAACAGAAACCAAACCAATGAACCACCCTAGCTCATAATTTTGATTGTATTTCTGTTGGAAGAAAGATGCATGTGTGAGCTTGTGTGTGTCCGTCACTCCCCCACCATGTTTTTTTCCCCCGGCACAGAGGGAGTCATCACGACCACTTCCTGTAAATGACGTGGGATGGTCTTGAGTTTTCCCCCACTGTGGTTGTCGTGGAAACAATGAGTCATAAGAGGTGGAGCTCTGACATTCCTGGATCTAATCCCAACATGCAACAGCCCAAGTAGGGAGTCTACATATCTGTCTGCGTGTTTTAGCCTAGCACTCTCTCTGCGTGAGCTTAAATGCTGAATGGCAGAAGCTGAACAAGTTGGCTGTGAAGACCAATCTGACAGGAAGAGCAAGAATGTGACGGTGTGCGCATGTGCTTCACAAACTCAAACAGTACCAAGGTGCCTTACTCCACTTTGGGGAATTTTTAAGGAATTCCTCTGGGTGAGCAAGTCAATGGCTGGACATGATGCGTGATGTCCAGTTTTAGTAGAGATACCAAAATTAATATACAAGTTCTCAGCTAATAGATTTTTTTTTGAAAATTATTTTAGTATTTTTAGGTAAAGAAAAGTATATTTCCAGCTTCTTAAATGTGGATATTTTCTAATTGCTTTAATCCTCTATGACGTATACTGCAAAGCTTTGAGTTTTTAGGACAAAACAAGCTTCGAGCTAAATGTATTGACATTTTTCACCATTTCCTTTAGCATTATAGAACAAAGAACTAATACATAAATCAAGAAGATAATCAACAGCATCCATAATGGAAAATGAAAGTAATTGTTGTTGCCGCCCCTAAGTGGGAGCACTATAAAGACAGAAAAGGACTTTAGAGGCTGAAGATAAACTCGCATGTAAAGACTCGTTGAGCTTCACTCGGTCTTCGCTGCTCAGAGGCACACAGTTCCTGCTTAAAAACAACAGAGATGCAGACCCTAATTCTGTGTCTGGAACGTGAACGTAGAGACTCACAGCACAGCTTATATTTACATTACTCCCTGTACCAAGCATTGTTTCCCTTGATTTGAATGGAATACATTTAAAGAAAAGGGTTACATTAATGCAGGTGATGTAAATAAAGCTATACAAAGTACTTACAGAGTAACCCAATGTTATTGGTAGCGCCAACGAAAAAAGAAAAAAATAATTAAAAGGAAATTACATTCTAGAAAATGAGGGTGTTAATATTCTGTATTTTTGTTATCGTCAAATAACTGTCTGTATGTGGTGCTCAGCTGGTAGCCCATTGGTTCCCACTGATATTTAAAAATATTAATAAAAAAAAGAGGGCAGCATTCTTCCAGTTATTCCTACATCACATGAATGCAGCACAAACGCCCTATGTCACAATGTTAACAAAACTAAACAATTTGAGTTTTCCCTTCATGATTCTGAACTGCTTCAAATAAAGTTGAATACCTTGTGTTTTTTAAGTATTTCCATACGTTTTCTGAAAAGACAGAGATTCAAAGAGACGGCCGACAACATGGCCCAGCATTGTCGGGAACTATTAAAGTCACGGGTTTGGGGCAGTTAGGAGTATTTACGGCAGTAGGATGTAGGTGTAAGTTGCCCGACTCAAAATGAACTACAGTGTATAGACATGTTCCTGGTAATTAAGGAAGAGGTTCCTGTGCAATGGGTGGACACACCCATGTTTGTTTATCACACAGGAATCAGATATCAGGCTCTGGCTACACAGACATTACTTGTTAGTATAATCAACTTTTCATTTGTTTTGGTCATACTTTGCTTTTTATGAATTGGTTGGCAATCACAAAAATATTGAATATCCAAAGGCTAATCGTTGAACAACAGTTTGATTAAAACAATATTTTCCAAGAACGCGTTTTTTAAGCATCTTAAGCCGGTATTCATCACATTAATGCCCTTATTCGAAGCATGGACAAATGAACAGGCCCTGCCATATACAACAGCAGCATAAACGAAGTAAGGGCATGATCTTTCTGGTGATTAAACTAAAGTTAGATCTAGGTAAAGCACAAACTCCAAATAGCAATTACCACTGATGACTATACGGGTGGGTCATCATCCTGCAAGGTACATTGCTCACCACAGAAGCTCACTAAAAAGCCAAGAGAAAACCTGCACAGTATGCAGCCTGAGAGACATAAAAACCAGGAACCCCACAGCTCTGTATAGAGAGAAGTTCAATAAATAAAGTTCCCTTTTGCAACTGTTATTAGTGTAACATTTCCTAGTGATTCTGGGAATTCTCTGCGTCTCAATGTCGATGTTATTAGTGAGACTCAGTCACTGCAGTAATGAAAGTCATGTGGTGCGTTGGCCAGCAGACCTAAAATGAGTCCCCTGATGTTGAGTTTTCAAAACTAAGCAGACACATACTCCAACACACTGGAAACCAAGAGTCTGACTTCTTCACTAACGCAGATCCCTCCCAAAACAAATAACACATTTAATTTACCGCAAAGTAAAAATCTGTCAAGAAGCTGTGCATGAAACCTAGATATGCATCTACATGTTGCAGAAGCAACAGAACCACATGCTGTCAACACATTACTCACAAGATGAACAACCTCTTTACCATGGTACTTGAATAAAACAATACCTAACTAATTAGCAATACTCAAACTGGTTGATCAGGGCTCATGTGTTAAAGTGAAGGGACATATTGCTTTAACACTTTAAAATGCAAATCAAAATGATTTTCTTCCTCAATCAAATTGACAACTACTTCCTTGATCTGTTTGAGAAAGTCAATTGGGCCCCTTTGCAATTTACCTGCCCAAGTTGACATATTCATGCGAACAAATACATTTTAGATTAAAGACTGTTTGCTTGTTCAAGTCCTGTTGCGTTCAACCGGTTTTTGTTTTGGTCAGGTAGTTACAGCATGCAAAAGTATTAAGATTTGGCTGGTGAACTAGTAAGCAAAACAAAAACGACATTGTCTTCTAGTATATCATATCATATTGCCCAATCCTTCTACCAGTAATTACCTCATGCCACCTAATCATTCATCAAAAAGCTTCTAAGACCTTTTGTAAGATAGTAGTTACTTTAGCAGTAATGTCTTTCTACAGTTAAGAAGAATGACACCTTGCTACATGGAAAAAAAGGTTAAAAAAGGTTTCCTCAAATTCTGCCCTTCTGCCGGTTCCCTGTTGCTAAAGATATGGTTACTAAATATGGAGACGATTGAGAAAACCAAATAAATGAGGCATCAGAGTGTGTTCATCATCTATGTTTGGTGCACCTGAAACATAGTTTTCTGTAAAGATGTAGGCGGTCTTTCCAGTTCTTATGAAGGTGGGAGGATTCTGTTTGTTTCCTTATATGTAACAAAAGAGGGGTAGTGCAATTTCCTGTAATAAGAAAACCAAAACCAAGAAATGTGAAAAATGGTAGTATTGTCTGTTAAATCTGCACTCCTTAATATAGAAATGAAAAAAAGATATAGGCGTTCAACTTGTGGCCAACAAACCACATGCCACATCTTTATCCACAAAGCATCACCAACAACAATAGAGAGATTAAATTATTAGGGGAAGGTCTCTTACGTCTTGGCTTGCGGCACATCTTGTACAGGCAGCAGCAGGGACACACACAGCAGCAGATGAAGATGAGCAAAATGGTGACGAAGCCCCCAATCCCAAGCACCATGGGTATTGGTGAGGAAATATCGTTAAAGATTTCACTGTAAAAGACAAAAAAACGGTAACACTTTATATTAAGGTACACAAATTAACCATCAACTAGTTGTTAATTAACATGCATATTAGCAGTATATTGGCTCTTTATTAGTCATTATAAAACACTTATTAATGCCTTATTCTGCATGACCATATTCTACAAGTAATAAGCCATTAGTTGAGAGTTTTTCCTCAATAACCCTCTAATTAGTGCTTATTTATTGCAAGTAAGGAAGTTGTTGTACATGAGTTTTGGTCTTAATATGCTCTGCTCAATATGGGCCTAATAAGGCAGTAGTACCACAAGAATAGTTATTCTACCATAATAACACTTATTAAAAGTGGGGTAGGTAAGTTTGAGAAACCGGCTCGAGATACACTTTTTGTTATATTCCATGGAATGCTCTTAACATCCCGATAGCAATGAATATCTTAAGTGCTTTGACAAAAAATCCATAAAAAAATGTCATCTGTGGAAGCCGTAATACTGTAAAAAGCACGACCAATTATTTTAGCCGGCCCGGCTAAAATAACTGGATGGCCTACCTGCCTGTCAGCCTTCCATCTGTGCACAAACTTATCTCGTGCCCTCATTGGTCATGTGCGCGTTTGTGTGTTGGAGGAGGGGCTCTGTAAGGAAGTGGCAGATTTGTTCCGGCTGTGTATTTTCAAATTCCAGCGCACTCGAGCTGGTTTCTCCAAAATTACCTACCCCACCTTTAAGTACAGGTATCAGTACAACAAAGTGAAAATACTCATGTGCCTGGCATAAGCGTTGTTTGTGTACACTAGCTACATTAGTGATTGAGCTGCTTCCTAATGGTCACCCGATTCACTTTAGGGGTTGTTAGATTATTATGGGTTTATAGTTTGTTGTTCACTGCTTGAACAACTAACATCAAGTCATTTCAGTAGTTGCGTGCTATAATGTATTTACAAAGTGTGAAGAGGAGGCAACTTTAGAATAGGGAACATGTTCAGGTCAATTAGAGTCAAACTACTAGCTTATTGGTTATGAACAAGACTTCACTTTAAAATAGGGAACATATTCTTAGATATAAATACCTAATTAGAGTCAAACTACTAGCTTATTGGTTATGAACAAGACTTCACTTTAAAATAGGGAACATATTCTTAGATATAAATACCTAATTAGAGTCAAACTACTAGCTTATTGGTTATGAACAAGACTTCACTTTAAAATAGGGAACATATTCTTAGATATAAATACCTGATTTTGAGTTATTTAGACACAATTAACACTTATAGTTTCATGTCTTGTTACATAAGAGATCATATTTGTTAAGTGTTATTATGGGAGAATAACTATTCTTGTGGTACTACTGCCTTATTAGGCCCATATTGAGCAGAGCATATTAAGACCAAAACTCATGTACAACAAATTCCTTACTTGCAATAAATAAGCACTAATTAGAGGGTTATTGAGGAAAAACTCTCAACTAATGGCTTATTAATTGTAGAATATGGTCATGTAGAATAAGGCATTAATAAGTGTTTTATAATGACTAATAAAGAGCCAATATACTGCTAATATGCATGTTAATTAACAACTAGTTGATGGTGAATTTGTGTACCTTAATATAAAGTGTTACCCATTATAAATACACAATAACAGTCACAACAACGATCCCCTGTGCAATGATCACAGCTGGAAAAAACATAAATATCCCCTAAATGCTGAATAAATTAACTTCATAACTTAATCTCATGAGCTGAATATTGAATCAGAATCTGTTCTGTGAAAGGAGATGTCTGGTGCTGCAGGTTGCAATGGATTCACACATTAGCTTCATGCCGGTGGTCGTGCACAGGAAGACACGACATCCTGTTGCTGTACTGTGTTTTGCATAGTTTCCTAACTGTGATGACACATTTTATAAAAGGACAAAGAGAGACTAGTTCAAGGCAATTAACAATCCATTACAAAATAACATAAAATACCAGTTATCTTGTGTAAGCTCAGTCAGCTTGTCAAAAGAATTAGTACAGCAGAATCTGTGTGTGCAGGTTCCACAGCAAAATCCTGGTCTGCATTTTTGGAAGGGTTGGTAATTGTATGCCTGACAGTCCTTGTCCCAGGCTGCAAGAGAGCAAACAGAAAGGTTAGCTAGCTACCCCCAAAGCTATATGGTGCTGACCTGCCAGAGATGGGTCAAATATGAGTAGTAAAGCATGAAAGTAGTTTGATGAAACACACGCATGCCTTACCCACTCAAGGAAAACAAGAACTTATTGGTTTGATGTGGTTTAGAACAACCTAATGAAACTAAAACAATTAGTCCATTTATCGATTTGATAATGGACAGAAAACTTTACAGGAAGTCTTTAGGATAGACTAAATGTTTCGTCAATTTTTTAAGCAAAAGTGTCAAATGTTGTCTTCTTCTATATTAAGCATTGTGAGTATTTGATTTGGTTGCTCAAGAAAAGAAAAAGGATTTGCACTATTGTCTGATGTCTTTACACAGAAAGATCTATTAGAAATTAGAACAGTACTAAGTTGCAGCTCTACAATCAAATGAATATGTGTATTGATATTTAATAATATCCATAGCAGTCATTATCCGGACTTTTTTAACTTTTAAATTACATTAAATAACATGCATTACCTCATTGTTCACATGCTTTCATTCTCACAGCTCTCATCGTTCTGGTGGCCACACTTTCACTTCACTGCTGTCTGTGTTTTTAATTAATTTTCTGTTTATCTATCCACCTATTGCATTAAATCCTATATTCAATTAAGGTTATAATGTTTAGTTATTGACAAATCACTCAGTATAAAGTTGATTCTACCTGAATACGTTATCAACCTTTGTTTATACAAATTGGGGTTGTTTAGCTAGAGCTGTTCATATTTTAGAAATACTGCAATAGCTTGTGTTTTTCTATGGAAAGACAGAACATTATTCCTATCTTAAAAAGATCATATTATATTGGAAAATAACTATGTTTGGGGGAACAGCAAAAACAGTTTAGTCCGTTTTTTAGCCCAAATTAGTCGGAGTTTCCTTTAAATCATGAAAACCCGATGGACCAGTTCATTTCCCATTAACATGTTGAAACAAGCTAAAGTTACAATGTGAAAACAATTTTGTAAATTAACTTAAACAGACTGGGTGGCGAGGCTAACGTTGCTGACATCGCCCTCGATATGTTTTTTGTAAAGCCTCGATTTCTAGCCAACCAAGCTTAGGTGAAAAAAACGGTCAGTGTATAAAAACAGTTACAGAGACAAAGAAGAAAAACAACGATAGATTCGGGTTAACAAATGTATACTAACCGGAGCAAGAAGGGGCCAGAATCACACATAACGCCAACACAACAACACTGGGCAGGCCTGTCGCCATGTCTAACGCTGCTTCCCGGATCCAGCTGCTAGACCTCCGATGAACCGAGTGATCTGCCGTCGCAGTTATCGTCTGCTCCCCGGCCGCGTCACACCGCAGAGACCCCGCCCATATCCACCCCTGCGTCTCTTTATAGAAGTGTATACACTTTACCAGTTGTGGAAAAAGTATTCAGATTCTTTAACTTGAGTAAAAGTACTAATTCCACTCTGTACTAAACACTACATTTAAAGGGCACCTATTATGCAAAATCCACTTTGTCATGTCTTTTATACATAAACATGTGCCCCCTTTGTGTAAAGAGATTCTGAAAGTTTCAGGAAAAAATATTCGCTCACTTTTTGTCCTGATCCATTTATATAAAAACCTGTCTGAAAATGAGCTGATCAGATTTTGGCCACTTTATGATGTCATAACGATGTTTGGGGTTGTGTAACCATTAGCCAATAACCAACCAACCTAACCCCTAACCCCACTTGGAGTGGCTCCTTATTTTCATCTAAAGTAACAGACACAGAATCAGGACTTTTGAAACAGGGCTGAAACAGAAGGGTTTATGGGATGCTACAATGGGTGGTCTGTTTGGTATTTAAAAACGTTAAAAAATATATATATTTTAAAGCAAAAAACGCAAATCTTTACATTTAAGAAACTGTAAACTGGATATATTTTTGAACAAAAACAATCTTAATTCCAATAAATGTTCTGTTAACCCTCTCTATCTCAAATGTGTACTTGACTAAATGTACTTAGTTACTTTTTATCACTGCACTTTATTGAGCATTTTTTCTTTATAGTACTGTACAGTACGGTGGTGGGATGTAACAAACTACGTTATAATTTAGGTGTGCCGGGAGTGGTTTTCCAAGGGCTGTGTTGTGGTTACATTTATTCAATTACCATACTGAAGTCACTTTACATTACTATTTTCACTTTGTGCTACTTTATACTATTTCTCTATATATTTGAGAGGTACATTTTCTATTTTAACTTCACTACATGAATGCAACAATCAAGTTAGGCTACTGTTACTCCTTTACATATAAAAACACATGGTTTGCTTAAAATGATTCAGTAGTGTTAGATAACACAGTAGGCTATATTATTAGAAATGATCCTGAATTGGTTCCATTACAAACATTTGAATTGGTCTCACATGTATTCCTTTGTAATGTAAACAGGACAATAATATATTCAATGGATTACTGTGAAAAAATCTGCCTGTTATTTTTCTTCTGATACTTTAGCTGACACTCTTCTGTATAGGCCTATCTACTTAGATGTACTTTTATTGGAGTATTTTGAGACCATATTATTTTTCCTTTGTTTAAGTAAAGGAACTGAGTATATTTTCCACCTCTGATCAAAGGCTATATTAAGTATGATAAGGAGAAATTGTATATGTAAGCAGGGATTTGATTTCGACAATAATGAGACTATGCCATCCCTTGGAAAAGCTTGGAAAAATACTCCACTTTAGTTCACTTGCATAATCCTGGATATTGGATCATGAATATGACTTTTTGATCACATAGCAACTCAAATATTGATCCAAGATAGGCTTATGTTGCAAATATATACCGGTAACCAAAATGTGTGTCTTCAGGCCTATATTAACTTCTGACAACAGGACAATGGGAAAAAACAGTAAACGTTCGTATCTCTGAATTAAAACACATACATAAGCAGTGTCCTGAAGCCTATATCATCCATTAATGTAACACATCAGTTTCAGTCCAAATCAGCTGTTCTGGTATATTTTTAGGCCTACTGAAAATCAAATAAAGCAGGTCCAACTTTCTAGCAACCAGTGCCAGAGAGAGCCTAAATAGATCTGCATGAGACCACACCCTGTCTGTCAGACCAAAGACTTCATTCACAGATTCAGATGAAAATTAATGGATGAACAATTCAATATATAAGTGTGTAAGTGCGCTGGTCTTCGGAACAGGAGGGCACAGGCTGTGTCCCTTGGCAAGACACTTCACCCGAAATTTCTCCTCTGGGGATGGTCCAGAGTATTGAGTATGTTATTAAGTCGATTTGGATAAAAGCGTCCTAACAAGTGACATGTAATGTAATGTAAATGCCTCTGGTCATCATGATGTGAATGAAAAAAAGAATACAAAAACTGAGCATTCATAAAGCAAGGAATTATTGCAAGGCTGTTCACTGATATAGCTTTCCCCAATACGCTTGTAACCGGGTGTATATAGAGTTTAAAAATCAGTTTGTTTTCTATTGTTGTTATATTTAGGACAAAATAGGCTTAAAATTCATATGAATTCCTTAATTGTCTGCAAAAATCACACAAGCAAACATATGTTTACAAGTGTCTCATCAACCCAACTTAAAGTACAATATACAATATCATACAAAACAACATTTTAGAATAAGCTCAGGTTCAATAACTCGGTTTCAACACCAGAGGTCACTTGTGCACAGAAAATCCCTCTACCCAACCACGTCAGAAATCATGTCACATCAATTAAAAAACACTACTGTGTGTTAAAGTTCAGCAAACAATACTTAATGAAGCCAGAATCATTGTGTGGAATAATATATCCATATGTTGAATATATTCAAGGTCAATAACTGAAACATCTTTTGCTATGGTTGCAGATAATTTATTCTACAATAAAAGATTTAGGCAAATCATTTTAGTTGAATTACACACAAATATGAATGGTTTTAAAATACCAGCAGGCTACTGCGAAACATACTGAAACTACTAGTTTAATTGTTTGTAGCCCAGTTTGCTACTCCTAAACATGTATATCACATACAGTATTTACATACACTTGTCTGTGTAAAGACATTTTCATAATAGTCTTGTCTATTCCTTTGTCCTTATATGTTTATTTCTGTGTACACTGAGAGAGAAAAAACAAATGGAGGTAAATTCTATGTATGTGTATGTGTATAAATACTTGGACAATAAATGGTAATACTGATTATAATAAAGTAAGCATATGCATGAATGTCTTTGCGAATTTGCAGTCCTTGGAATATGTAACTAATGTCCATACAGGGTAAACATTGATTTATATGCAATGTTTGGAACAAAACCCAAAACAAATCAAGTATATTTTTAGACAACCTTCAAACATCCACAGAGAAAAGTCCCTGCTTTATGCTTGATTAACAGAAAACTGGAATGGCCCTTTGACGTAAATTAATGAGATCTCGCGAGACTTCCACGCGATATGAGGCATGGCGTAAGCTGGTTATAAGAACTTGCACGTCCTCGTCCTATCGTTCGTCCTCAGTGCAGGATAACGAAGCAGTCACCTCCTTCACCTTCTCTGCAAAAGAAGTCATTTTTGTTAGAGTGTAACACAACATTGGCTCAGCTGCTGTTACCCTGTTTACTAAACGACATTTGAAGAGGACTACGCAATTAAACGTGAAGTTTTGAGGAGGTAAGTCTCTTATTTTGGTCATCTTCATCTCCTGGTTGTAGCTTCTTGGCTAATGTTAGCTACATTGCTAAGCCCGGTCAACCGGCAAAGATCACAAGCAATCCGGTAAGCATTTAGTCTTAGTCTATTTTACAATAGCTTTGTTTCCGAAAATAAGCTTTAACCACAACCATTGATGTAAGTAAAGCGTTATCCAACGTTGGAGACAGACAGGTCGTGACTCTTCCTCTCCTAATGTGTTACAACCATGACATGTTATGCGAGTCAATACGGAACACCACTTTAAAGGGCGAATTATTAATTGAGTACAAATGTGTGTGATTTGTATTTAATAACAGAAAGTAAACTAAATGCTTGTGTCAATGCCAGTGTTTTTGTATTTAAATTGTGAATACAGTTGTACAGTACCACTAGGGATACCGGGTTTCATGTTACGCAACCTGACGGAATAACACTTGTGAGGACTATGGTTTTAGCTTTTGGAGAAAGTCGACTTTTTCCCCAAAAATGTATCACGGAGACGAGATATCTTAATAGCTTAAAGTCTTGGTTTTGGTGAAATTAGTTCGACTTCACGTGTACGTTTTATAAGGGCTCGTCTCCTTTTCCTGGAACTTCAAGTGGGAAAGAAGTTGGAGCGATAACTCTGTCGAGGAATGTTTAGACCTCACTATCCGGGGGAAGGCTTATGACACAGGGATAGACGTAATACAGCTGGAATTTTCCCTTTTACGCAATGAGACTTTTTTTTTTTTCATGTTTTTTTTCCCCCAATTTGATCAGTCACCTGTTGCAGTGACTTCATCAGTTCATCCAGTCAATAACATTATTGTAAAGTGATAGAAAAACGAATAGGATTTTTAGGTTTCAGTGGAAATAGATGTTGGGTATTCATGTAATGAGACAGCCTATACTTTTAGCTTGAAGGTTTATAACTCACCTTGAAACATTACATAACAACTTTAACCAATAGGTCCACTGACTTGGATGTTTCTTAAGACTTTGACAGCTTATTAATACCTTCATCGGTTTATCAAAGTAAGCAAACATCTTCCAACAATTTTCAATTGCCCTCAATAATTTAATAGTTATAGCGGACACATGGCAATTGTCATATAAGCCCTTTAACTGCATATTTTCGAATGCAGCAAATACTATGTTCAAACTTCCAAAATGTCTTTATTTAATTTACTTCCCAGAAATCCAAAAATAGGTCAACTGTAAAAAAAAAAACAAGAAGATGCAGTATTTGACCCTTAGAATGAAGAAGCAAACCCATGGGTTGGGAACCACTGCCTTAAGCAACAACTCTGTAAAACAGGTTGTTGCAGCATACAGAAAAAAGGATCTGAACTGTCCACAGCCGTTTCAATTTGCCTTTGTCAAAGCCACGCCCTTTGTTGTTAGCCACTGATACGTTTCAACTGTCTCCCACAGATCTCTGGACAATCATCATCATCACCACTGCTGACCATGGATGTGATCGTGCGCCGCTGCCCCTTCCTGGCTCGTGTGCCCCAGGCCTTCTTCCAGCAGCCCAAAAAGTCTATGGTGTCGTACGCCCAGAAATGCCCCATCATGATGGAGCTGGCCGCTAAACCTATGGCTCCATCAATGGCACGGGCCCTCTGCTCCTCCTCCTCCTCCTCCCAC